GTACATATGTGTGATTTGTATTTTATAAAAATATAAATTTGGTAAAAAAATCTCCCATTAATGTCATCTTATCCTTAATTTATTTTTTGAGTTCCAATTTACAACCTCGATTTTCGGTAGCGAAAATAATTGCTCAAAATCTCAGTTTCAGTTCTTGCTAAGGTAAGTAAAGTGGCTTAATTGCTCACATGCATCGAATCCATAGGGACTGCCATACTTCCTAAATCGAAATTAAAATAATTTCCACATGCAAAGTTGGTGATTTTATCTTTTCTCACATTGCACCTTTTATAAGTAATGCTATTATTCAAAAAATAATCATAATTTCAATTAATTGTATGACATTTTACATCAATAAATTGTATGATATTTTACATCGAAAGCATACATTTTCCTCAAAATAATATAACACTCAATCTATCTAGCGTTCAGGTCTTTTCATATAAGAATTTGTATTTTTTTCATAAGTATTTTATTTTTATTTCACACTTTTGCGGAAAAATTGGAGATTTCATCACTTAACTAACACTTGTTTGTAAAACAGTTCTTTACAAATCAACTTAAAAAAAAAACGCCATTCATGTGAAAAAAAAAATAGAGAATTCATCCTCTAACTTATTTTAGCATTAAAAAGATCAGATTTTTTTATTTTTTTTTTCTCACATGAAGACAATTTTTAAAAAAGTTGATTTTTAGAGAACTGTTTTGCAAACAATTATCAGAGAAAGACCAAATATCCAATTTTTTCAACTTCTGCTTATACTTAATTTAAAGCNACAAAAAAATAAATAAATATTAATAATCAATGAAAATTAGAGAGTCATGGACTTCCACTTTGACTTGTTTTCCGCGTGGCTTGTGTAATGAATAAAAATTTTTAAAAATAGAGATAACTTAATTAAATTAATAAATAAATAATAAAAGGTGGTGCCGTTCGATTTTGGCCGTCCACGTAGGTATACAGACGGCGGGGATCATGCGTGATCGGTGACGTCACTGAGGCGGCCGGTAGCTGGGCTGCTGACATCGGCCTGTGGTTATCAAGCGTGATAGAAAAATGACTCTTAATAAGCTGTAACCTTGACTAATTAATCTGGGCAATAAGATAATCAATATCCAAAATCGCAAGCATTCAGGCGGGATTGTCGTTTTCTTGGATCAATTAATTAGTCACGGATGATTATTTCGTGGGTTCAATTAATAATTAATTTATTTATGCTTCACATAGTTTAATTAATAATTAATCACATGGCAGGATGCTTCTGATTCTCTTGTTTGGATTTTTTTAAATGAAGGGCAAATTATGTGACAGATTTAATTTAATAGAATCCCAGTGTTAATTTGTCAGGTAGTAATATTTGAGCACATTTGTTTAACAAGATGGGATTAGACAAATTTTATGTAGTCTAAGATTAAATTGTAGAGATAGGATTACACTTGCGTTTGCGTTTGTTATCTTTGATTTACTCAAGATAAGATTATTTTGTTATTTTGTTTATGTGTTTGTTTCCTTGGACAAAGAATAGAATTATATGTACAATTATCAATTTAACCCACATATTAAACATTGTTTTTTCCACTTTTTTTTTTCACTTCTCAATGGTGATCTGCGTGAATTTAAGCCGGGTTTTTCTACATTCCACTTTTTTTTTTCACAATTAATATAAAAGCTGGGTTTTTCCTGCATGTCTCCTCTTTTTTTTTCACAATTAATATAACTGTTTTTTTTTCTTTTTTCTTTTTTTGAAAAACGAAATATGGAAAATACTGCGATTTTTAAATGAATTGAAAACTATGCACCAAAATTCCAAATTCCACTCTCATGCCCAACACCAAATAATGCTCTCATCAAGCCAGGTGTCTTTTTCCTCACACACTTGACACCAAAATTCACCGAATTCCACTCTTCCTTTTTTTTATTTTTTTTATTTTTTTATTTTTTTGCCTTTCTCTGCACACCCACACTGCAACACATTAAAATCACAAACCAAATTTCTCAAAATCACAAATCAGTTCACCTTCCCATTATTAATTTTTGCACATTATAACAAATTCCACTAGATTTTGTTTCATGTTGCTTTCTTCTTTTCCGGTGCAAGATAGCCAGAAATATATGGTGGTTGTGGCAACATTTTTTATTAAAGGTGGTCGAGAGGCTACCATGGAATGAATCGTAAACGAGTGGCGAGCGGCGACCAGATCTCGAAGAAAATAATTTTTTTGCTACAACAGGGCAAGGGAACGGCACTCGTCTTTGCTATTGTGAATGATTTTTGGGAGTGTTAGGTGAATGGCAGAAGATGTAAATTTCACTTGACAGAGGTTAATATGGTCAAAATTATTTACTTTTAGGGACACTTTGGTAAATTCAGACATTTAATACTGTAAAGACAACAATAA